GCACAAATGTAGTTCTGAAATCTTTAATGTAGAATTTCTTTCTATTTTATTAAATAAAGTTTCAACTATGGCATTTATAATAAAAAAAAAAAAAAAATAAAAATTTATAAAATTTTATATATAAAATTTAAAAAAAAAAAGTTGCCTAGCCAGCCAGATTATTTTTAAAATTTAATGTCATAAGAAACAAAAAATTAATTTTGCATAGTCTAAATATAAAATTAAAAAAAAAAATAAAAAATAAAAATTTATGCAAGTTAGATAGGTTAGCAAATATTACTATGCAATAGGCAGCAAAAGTAACATCCAAATTTTTATTAAAATAACAAATTTTATTTATTAAATTTCTGTTCTATATACTATTAAGTGTGAAAGTCTTAACAAAAATATATAACTAAAACAAGATATACTATAACTTGTATCAAAGGCTAAAAATTATATAAAAGTGACATGTTGTATATCTTAATACACTTTGCTTGACTTTTCCTATTAAATCTATATCTTTATCTAAAAGTATAAGAACTTTAAAAACTCTATATGAACTTGTTATTATTATTTCATTCATTTTATTATATATGCTGATTTGTTATTATCTAGTTTTCTAATATAGAAGTAGTAAACAATGCTGATCTTTTGAAGAGAATAAGCTGAATTCTTTACTTTTGTTGAAAATTTTGAAGTCAAAAGATGGCAAGAAAATATCAAGTTTCTGCAAGTTTTCTAACCAAAAAGTGTTGTTCCAGAAGTTCTTTATAGTCTTCTATCTTCAAACAAACTTTAGTTTTCTTTTTTACTTACTATTCTCAGAGACTCCTTTAGTTTAAATGCTAAATACAAAGAGGAGTCTACTTAAAAAGTATAAAGAACAAGGCTTAACCTCTTTGCAAACCATCCAAAATGCCTGCTCTTTGATGTATTATATTTAAAGACTTCGTTTATATCAAAAAAACTTCAAGTTGTTGTTGACTTCTAGACTTGAATCTTAACTTGCTTTTAATGCTAAATTGATACAAATAATTGTCAAAAAGAGTTGTTGTTGGATTATTAGATTAAAAAATAAAGTTTTTATAAAAAATTAAGAGAATAACTATGATTAATTAGGAGAGGAAATCCCCTAATGATTATATGCCCAATGTCATACTTATATGCAAGATAAAACTCCGATCATAAACATGTTATACAAATAGTTTATTTTGACAGATTAATGTAACCTAAATAAAAATATATTTGATCACAAGTAAATACGCCACTTTCGCTTTTTTGCTCTTTCACTTTAGTGCAAATTTCATAACTAAATCTCTTCGCTTAAGCAAAAATACAATAATCGAACTTCTTTAGCTTAAAAACTAACATAAAAAATGATTAACATATAAATAAATACCCAAAGAACATTTATGAACACGCTACATGTATTATAGTTGTAGCAGTTTTCACGTGACGTTTATTGTATATTTCTACGTTGATATTTTTTTTTTTGCTTCACCCCAAATTATTAAACAAAAGAAAGTCCATTTATATATTTTGTCTAATACACCATGAATCCACCACAAACCAGCAATAGTGTTGAAGAAAGTAATATTAGTTTGCTGAGAAACGATATGCAAATCTATGAAAGTGAACAGTTTGAGAAAGAGCCATTTCTCATAAGCCTACCTTATGAACCTGAAGCCAAAGTTGATGAGATATTTGATATTGATTCTTCTGAAGAAGAAAATGAAGAATCAGCATTAAAAATTTATAAAAATCAAACTTTTCAAACGTGGGATGACGCTGAAACTTTTTTGAAAAAATATACATTAGAACAGGGCTTTAGTATTCGAAAAAGACGTACTGAAACGTGTATTGAAGATGGCATAGAAGTTATGCATAAAATTAGTTGGAAATGCAGTTGTGCTAGTAAATACAAGCCCAAAAAAGTTTTAAATCTGGAGGATCAACAAAATCGTAGGTCAAAATATACTGGATGTGAATGGAAAATTAATGGAAACATGCTCAAATCATCATTAGTTGTCACATTTACTACTGTTGAGAATTCTCATAACCATCCAATGTCATCAGCACCATCAACTACAATTGCGTACAACCGTAAGTTAGGAGAGGATATGATAGAATTTGTTGACTTTTGTGTAACACATAGTATAACCAGAGCACAGAATATAGGACAACTTCTAAGAGGCAAATTTCCTAGTCGAAAAATATATAAGAAAAATTTGTATAATGCAATTCAAAATGCAAAAATAAAACTTTCTTTTAAAAATGAATTGGATGCATCAAATCTTTTACAACATATGTATAGTCTTAAAACTAATGATCCTAGATGATTTGTGGAGGCTAGATTTGATGGTCCAGAACGAAGATTATGTAGTATTGTTTGGCTTTCTTCGGAACAACAGGAAATTTGAACAAATTTCATGATATAATTTTTTTTGATATGGTGCTCCAAGTCACTTCTCATCAAATGCGCCAAATTCGGCTAGATATAATTCAAGTACGCCAAATTTGCTCT